GGCAAGAGCTCTAGGGTGAGGGGAGCAGAATAGTGCAGAGTAACAGGAAAGGATGGTGGATAGTCAGGGGATTAAGGACAAGAGCTTCTGTCGGGAACAGAGCCTGGATAGTTTAGCATCTTAAAAACTCCAGTTGCTGGAGTAGAAAGAAATAAATTCCTATTTTCGTTTTGAAAGGTAGGCAGTATTGCAAGCTCAGGCATCCAACGTTCAGGAAATGCCCCAAAACAAAATTTCTCATATGATATTTTTTAGTCTTTACTGGAAAAAGTAAAAGCAAGCTGTTTACTGGTACGTAGTACAGTTTCAAATATTGGTGGAAAAAGGATTCACCAGTTCCCTCAAGAGGAAGAAGATGGCTTTGTTTAGTCATCGCACAACCAACTGCTGCTGTGGGGTTTTTTTCGCTTTTATTCTTTGATGACAGGTTAGGCCTTAGCTCTTACGTGACTTAATTCTGAAATGTATTCTTGGAAAAAAGCAGTAGAAACCCTTATTCCGTGTACAGCGTTAGTGTAGGGCCAGTGTGTATCACTGCTACTTTAACCCATCCACGTGGTATGGAAACGGTCAATAAAACTTTGTGATGATCTTGCTGACTTAGTGAAGACAAAGTGGGTGGTTTGACTGATGGACAGGCCGTCAGAAGTTTGTGATGAAAACCTTCAGACACTAAAGTATTAATGGGACTGAGTGAATTCTTTGCCCTGATAAGTTGCTTTCATCTTGTTTTTACTGACTTTTTCTCCGTAGCATGTTATGAGCTGATTAAAATTACATTTCTTGCAGGTTCATGCTTTGTGGAATTGCATCTTAAGTACTGTCCTCTGCACATAAAATATTTTGCAGAACTTCTTATGTTTTTAATTCATCTGTCACTGGAAATATAATTAGGATTGGAGGTTTGATTGTCTTCCTAGAAACAGAGTACTGACTTGGCATTCATTCTGATGTATGCTAAGTGGTCATATGAATTGTATTCTCAGAAAACGTTTAACTCTCCTTAACTGTCTATCCGTGGCTCACTTCAGGAACTGCAAAAAATACTGGTCATGTTCAGTTGGGTAAAGGCTTGGTGAAGCGTAACTGAATTAGTAAAAATGTTCAAAATACTTCCTAATTTGCTCTGATTTACTCAGGGAAACAAACTATTAAGAAACTGAAGTTGGTTTTGAAGAGTTTGAATAGAAAGGCCAACTATTAAATTCTATGACTTATATTTTGAAGGTGGTTGTACTTGAAAACAAACATGTTGACAAGGCAGTGGAGAGAAAGACTTTAAATAAAACTGGTCATGAAACATTAGCAGAATGCTTGTAATTGCTAATGAAAGACAGGAAGTATGACAGCTTATTGTAGACATGTTTAAATTGGAAATCTGATAGCTGATCAGTGTATAGGGAACTTTGTTTTCTAAATAGAATCAATTTGTATAGGATTTATTATCATTCCCCAAGACAAGTTCTAGTGCAGAAACAGACTTTAACAAGTATTGCATAACTTGCAGATGAATTTTAGTATTTATAATAAGAACAAAATCTTCTGCCAGTTTAATCATTTAGCCATTGGCCTATCTTCTAATAAAAAATTATGTCCATAATGTAGTTTTGAACATAAATGCATGTATTTGATAACTAAAAACCAATCAGTTTTCTACCTGGCTTTGATTAAAAAATCAATTAAATTGCCCTTTTCAGAAAGGGACAACTATGTACAGCTTAGGCCACATTAAGCTGACATGTCATCCCAAAATACTTCCTGCCAAATAAATCTAACTACCTCAATTTCTATACTGCATGGCTTGGTCCAGCCAATGTTGATGTTTGTTGGTTCCCACCTCGCTCTCCTGCCTGTAACGTTTTGGCCTAAACAGCTGCTTTTGGAAAAGATTATACATTAGCTTTATACATCTAAGTTCTAATTGCTAGGAAATATTTGGAATTTTATCTCTAATATGATGATCATTTTAAATGGCTGCTTCCTAGCTGGTTTTGGATGGTTTGCAATGGTTAAATCACGTTTGCTTTGCTCCCAAGCCTCACCTGAGAATTTTCAGGGGAAATGGTAGCTCAGTGCTCACGAACGGAAACCTTTTTTGTTAGGGAACCCACACATCATCCACAGAAGATGCAGCCCAGCACACAATCCAGGACACTGTTGCCGGTCCTTTGGGAAGCACGTTAGCAATTCTCTAGTTCCTCAGAAGGCACTCTTGCCTCTGCTGAGATGGTAACAGTATGCAAGAGCTGTTTGCCATCTGAGGAATCTCTGTGGACGGGCAACTTTATAAGATTAGTATGAAACTCTTAGCAACTGTGGATTTCAAACTGACATAAAAAATAACATTATTAAGTTATTTTACTCCAAGAGCCCCCCCCCCCTTTTTTTTTAGTTCCTAGTAGAGGCATAAATTGTGTTAAGATCACAATTTGTATCTATAAATAAGCATTCGTTTTTAAAAATTGTAGTGCAGTGTGCAGAATTGTTTCTTTATAGTTACAGTAAAAATATGATTTTGGAAAAAGTTAACAGTATCAATAGGATATATGCTTTAAACATGTAGAGTTAGATTTTGGTACCTTGGAAACTTTGCACCCAAGTTATATACAAAAAAAGGGTGCTTAAAATACTTATTTTTTTAAGAGAATTTTATCTGAGCTGTCTTGTACACGCAGTGTACACCCTAGGCTTTTATGGTAACTTCTATTGCGGAAAAATTCATTTATTAAAGACTTGAAAAACTCAGGCAAGTTGCTTTCTCAGTCTTAACTTGAAAATGTCTTTTACTTTAGAAGACACTTCTATGCGTTATTTCCCTTCCTAACTTGAAAATCACTGTTCTACAGTGATTCTCTTGCTTACTCACACAGTGAAGAGACATATGTTTTTTGATAGGCTTGAAGACTTTTGCAGAAGTTTGGGGTTAGAGCAATCTATAGAGGATTGAGCTTTTGGCTCCAGTCTGAGATCAACTTTGATTTCCTTTTCCTCTGTGAAAGGTTGGGAGAATCAGGCAATTCCTTCTGTTTAAAAATTTGGAGCTGCTAGAAAAGTAATCCTCATTTCATTTCATTTATGTCATTTGCTCTGCAAGACGGGCTCTGCGAGACGAGCTCTGCTCAGCTTGCCCTGAAAGCAGTGAAAATAGGCACTTTGGGCAAGGAATATCTATCTAAATATTTTGATATTTGCCTTTTTAAATCAAGTATTTAATGAAAACTACTTTGTTTTAAGGAATTTTGGCAAATGAATCTTCCGAAAGACCAGACCATTTTGATGTGAGATGTGATAAATGCCTGTTTCTGTCAACTCTATGTAATACCTATCGAACAGTAGTGCCACTTCCATAGTTAATATATTCGTAAAATTCTTCTGCCTCTTTTATTGTGCATGCAGTGCTAGTTTATAAATTAGAGAATATCTTACACTCTGAAGGGAGGAAAAAAAGGCTGGAATGGTTCCCTCGCAGTAATTCTTGATTGCCACCTGCTGGGCTATTGGTAAAATAGCTGTGGTAATATGACACTGATGGCCCCTCCGTTCAGCAATTTGCTCCAGCTCATCTCAAACTGAGCTCAAGTTTTGTCCATGTAAGGAGTGATAAATTGAGTTTTGTGTCTCGAGTATGTGCTTATTTTGCTAAATTTTGCATTAGTGGCAAGACACAGTAAAGAAGATTGATAGAGCATAATATAAAATGTTCTGTGGCCATACTTAAGTATTGCTTAGAGACAAGACCAGTTCTGCTAGTTTACTCCATTTCAAATATATGAAACTTATATTTTAATTCAATGCTACCTTTAAACTGGAGTAAGTGCTTGTATTTGCATGGTTGGCTACAAAAATAGGTTAGGTTTCTTAAATTAAATTTGTAGTTGTTTCATAAACCAGTAATTCAATGGGCAGGTTCCCTTTACAGAAAGACCCCATTTGAAGCGCAGTGCTGTGAGATGCTGTTTCTCTGGGGGTCAGTCATTCTGTCCTCAGCGTCTCTGGGCTGATGTTCTGGTTTCCGCTGTAGCGGATCAAATGATTTTAGCTAACTTTCCATGTGGAGTAGCAGTTGGGTACAGAAGTGCCTTTCCTGGCTTTCAGAGACTCCACACTTAAACCAACTTCTGCTACACTGCCTGCTCCATCTGCTCCCAGGGCATTTTCAAAGCTGAAGTTTACAGTATATTTTGACATAATACAATGTGTACTGAATAATTTAAAAGAATGACCTGTGTAATTTGAGCATAAAGTAGACTAAGCAATTTGGTCATGTATTTGACAGAATATACTGTCCATAATTGTTATTGATTCTGATTTCTTTAGTTTTCTGGTGTAGAGGTTGTGAGCATCTTGTGTTGTCGTGAGCTGTCAGTCACACCAGCAGAGCAGCATTGTAACTGTACCCACTGTGACACTTGGAATAAATAAACCTGCAGAACTTTAGAGCTTTTCTTAAAGAACAGATGACACCACCAAAGATGATCAGTACAGATTTTGTTGTCTTCCTAAACCACTTAATGTGATCAGAGAATTAAAATTTCAACAAGTCATTTAATGATGGCTGAGCAGCAAATACTGTAACACCCAGATCCGATTTCTTGCAGTTTCATAGTTATATGTGGGGCAGTTGTTTGTTTGCCTTCCCCCCCCGCCCCGACAATATACGCCCATTGTGAGGCATTCTTCTCTAGCGTATGTGATCAAGTAAATTTATTAACAGCAGTGAGGTCACTGTAATTTTCAATAAATGGTGACTTGCTGATTTATATCAGAAGATCCATACAGCAGTAAACAATACCATTTACATTTAATTAGTTTTATTGAACCAAAGGCAATTTTATTTGTAATGAACTACATGTTATGATTAAGAATGTATTTTAATGATCTTTAAGTAAGGTGAACAAATGTTGCCCTTGACCTAATAGACAAGATTTTTCTGTGTTATTGATAACTTGAGGGTGATTTTAAAATTAGTATTATGAAATGCAAAAGAGAACATTTTCATTATTGTACTGTTATCAAGTCATTTCCTGGATTTCCATGTAGATGGATGAAATGCGTTCTTCTGAGTGGTTATTTGCAGGTGACAGGGAATAGAATGCTTGATGTCATCAAGGTAAATAAGACAGTAGATGAGTTTTCTTTAAAAATAACTTATTTTTTATTACTTAAGGTCTGTATTGTTTCTGTAATCGAAGGTTCTTATAACCTCTCCCTCTGCCCAAGTGTGTGGTTTTGTTTTTGTTTTTTTTTTCCTGGAATAAGAAAATAACCGAGGTCATTTGCCATCACTATTTCCTAAATGCAGCGTAATTTTTTTTTAGATGTAGAATCCTGTTCCTATTGAACATACTGGTAGAATTCTTTGACTTCAGTGAACCAGCAGTTCAGTGCATATAGTATGAAAATTATTCTTTATTGAAGATAAATGTTATGAAGACAGAGTTCCTCATTATTTAAATCATTAATGAAAAAAAAAGTCTCCTAATAATATTTAAATAAAATCTTTTGTTTAAGGTTATTTCCCTATTTCTTGCTTTTATATAATGGGAAACAATGAATAAGACTAACCAGGTAATTTTTTTATTGCTAAGTGTAGAAATTTCCCCCAGTAATAAAAAGGTACTTCAGAAAGCTACTGAGCATATATTAAATGTGCTTGCATCACATCTCTTTCTGCTCATAATGAAATGACAATGAATTGCCACCAGGATTTCTCTCAGAGCGTAGGTTTATATAATGCTTTTCATTTTTAAGGGGAAAAAGGTCCACGTTTGGAATACTCTGTTGGTTCTAGTTTTTGACATTCTAGGGATGTGCCACAAATGTTTAGGGAATGTGAAGATCTCAGTTCTCTAGAAAGAAAAGAGAATTTGTCAGGGTTTAAATCCTTTACTAAAAAAGGAAGACCTGAAAAGTTTAGGTGTTCGATCAGAAATACAAATGAAGAGCTAAAATGTAAGATAGAAGACACCAAAGAATGTAAACTTTTTTTTTTACCTTAAAATGTAACAAAGGAGAGAGGATATCATAGTAGAAGCAAATACATTAAAAAAAAAAAAAAGATTAAGGAAGCAGGAAAATATATTACTGCACTAATGCCAGTATACTTTAAAAGGTGGATCTTTTTGCTTCCTTTTAGTCTAATGTTGTTTCCCACTAAGGCGTTCTTTGAAAAGAGAGAAGTTTTTTGGTTGACGCATTTCACTAACAGCTTTTATTGTGTATATGAGTATGTGTGTGGTATTAGTTTTCTGCTGTACTATCCAGCACTGAGAGACTCTTATTTTTCTTTGCATAATAAAGCACATAATAGCCTAGATTAGCTAAATTGTAGGTGATAACAGATTGGGAAGAAGTGAATGATGAAGATATAAGACACCACATGTGTATTAGTTTCATATGAATTATTTCTCGCGAAGCTGATGAAAAGTAGATTGGAAGGACAAGGATGCAGTGAATGAAACTTCATGTGAAGGACTACAATGAATGACTAATGGTTTAAGATAAAGATGATCTGTAAGAGTTAATGTTCAGATTTGATTCATGTTTTATAAGGCATGTGAAAAACTTAGTCTATGTGTTCGTGTATGAAATAAGAGACATTTCAGGTCTACAGAATAAAAATACAGGTTGAAATAGAAAATCAGTGATTTATACAGAGCTATACTTAAGGCAAACATGCTTTTTAAATGTAAAACATCTGAGTAAGCACATTCACTTTGATCTGAAAAAGTAAAATATATCAATATTCAAAAATCTGTAGTCCTTTTATCAGCAATATCCGTTAATAAAGGTGGAGATTACCTTCTCACTGTATCCAACTCCTAATCGCTGGGGTTAACTCTTGTATTTTCATCAAAGGTTGTGATTCTTCAGTTAATTGGTTTTGGTTTCAAGTACCTGCACCTCTCCAAAGGAGAGTCCATACATGAGTGGTCCACTTGTGCTGAAATCTCTTACCTGCTGTTGGTCCTGTCCATCTAGAAAGCACAAAAATTTTTACTTTAGTGAGGATAAGAAAAAATTCCTTTGTAGCACTTGTTAACAAGTAGTCTGCGGTATTTCTTGTGTGGAAGGTGAAAGCTTCAGAACAATTTCCTAACGAAACGCCTGAGAAAAACTTATTTCAGAATTTTAAGCTGGGCCTCCCTGTGCCTCCAGGGACAGCTCCTAAGATCTTAAAATCATCCGATTGGTTTTTCTTGTTTCTGCTATACTCTCATCACTATATATAAGCCCACTGCTGTGGTATCTAAAAGTCTCTTGTTCTTAGTTTTAGGGTAGGAGTGTCTGTGGGTTGTTTGCTGTTGTGAGCAGTAGTACCATTTAATTTAGACCTAGTTTTATAAGACTACGT